ATTTGACACATAACCTTTTATGCAGCTTCTGCAAAATCACAGCTTTTGAACAATGGGGTAGATCTCTGTTTTTTTGAGAAAAACTAATTCTCAAAGTTTTCTTTCTTTAATAAAAATTTTCCCCCTTTTTCAGATTAGAAAAAAACAAGTTCCTGGCCCAGCAATTGATGAGAGAAGCCACTGAAATGGACATGGAAGCAGACAGGTCTTATCAGCAGAGTCTCCGCCTTCTGGATTCCATGTCCCAGCTTCAGGGAGTCAATGGGCAGTCCTTCCAGGTGAGGGCCTCTGGTCTATGGTTTGAGCAGAAAAGTAGCCATAGATACTTTCTTCTCTGTGTATCCCTTAGCATTCAGCCATCTAACTTTTCCTCCATGCTGACCCTTCTTACCTCAGGGAGAGTGTTTATCTTTTACATTACCTATTTCTTGTTTTTAAAACCCAAAGTCTTTTCAGAAAAAGGAGGCTTGAGGTTTAAGGATAGGAACATAGGTACTGAGAAGGAAAAAATACCTTGACCTAAACAACATGCCTCTGGAAACTATGAACTTAGAGAAATGACAATAGTTATAGAACAGTGTTCAGGTCTTTTGTTCATAGGGTCGCTATGAGTTGTGCTCAACTTGATGACACTTAACAACAACAACAACCACACACACATGTGTGTATATATATGTGTGTGTATGTGTGTGTGTATGTATATATGTGTGTATCTGTATCTATATCTATATCATCTATATCATCTCTATCTCTATCTCTATCTCTGTCTCTGTCTCTATCTCTATCTCTATCTCTCTATATCTTCTCTAGTTTTGTTGTTGTTATTATGTGCTTTTGAGTCACTTGCAACTCATAACAATCCCACGTAGAAGAGCCCTAAACCCTGCTCTATCCTGCACCAACCTTACTGTCTTCGACACACATACTCCCATTACCCCAATCCCTGAATCAATCTGTCTCGTCGAGGGTCTTCCTCTCTTGTGCTGTCCCTCCACCCTCCCAAGCATGATGTTCCCCTCTAAGGACTGCTCTCTCCTTGTAACATGCCCAAAATGTGTCAGACAAAGCTTTCAGAATTCTTGCCACGAAGGAGCAGCCCAGTTTCACCCTCTCCAGGACAAACCTGTTTGTTCTCCTAGCAGTCTGTGGTATATTAACTCTTCTCTAGCACCACAGATCAATGGCATCAATTCTCTATCAACCCTAGTCATTGTCCAACTCTCTGATGTATAGCATACAATTGTGAAGACTATGGCCTGGATCAGGTACACCTCAGTCTCCAGCCTGACATCATTGCTCTTCAGTACTCTGGAGAGGTTTAGAGACTGTTAAAATTTGTAGGAAATGCTTATAAAGTTTGGTGTGTACACTTTGGTCCTTCTTATAGCCCATTTGATTGTGTACCTTAGATAATTATTATAGAATCAGCTCCTGTGTAATTTACTGCCTCTGTAAGTCCACTAGAGGGTCAGTTATGGGTCTGTCCCAGCTGGAGGGTACACAACAACAATAACAGCAACTAAATGTGGATTGGAAATCCTAGTCCCTGGACCTGTGATTATACCATTTTGAAATGGGCTTTCTCTGTTAAGAGATCATATCTGTATAGATTGTGATTTAAACCAATTCCCTTTGAGATCTGATTGTTGTTGTTATGTGCCGTCGAGTCGTTTGTGACTCATAGCGACCCTATGCACAACAGCCCTAAACCCTGCTCTATCCTGTGCCAACCGCACCGCCTCTGACACACCCATCCCGATTACCCCAGTCACTGAATCCATCCACCTCATAGAGTCTTCCCCTCCTGCGCCGTCCCTCCACCCTCCCAAGCTTGATGTCCCTCTCCAAGGACCCATCCTTCCTGGCAACATGTCCAAAGTATGTCAGGCAAAGCCCCAGAATCCTTGAAGAAGCAAGCATAGGTAGAGGGAGAGAAATTTCAAATGAAAAGGAAATGGATAATGTGAATGTGAAGATTACCTCAGAAGAGACAAGGGCCTTCCTCCAAATCCCACCAAGAGAAGAAAGCTTGCTCTAGAGTTGGCACCTCGAATTCCGATTTGTAGTCTCACAAATTGCCAAACAAAAAGAAATAATAAATCTCTACTTTTTTTAAGCCCACCACTTATGGAATTTCTATTACAGCAGCACTTGATAACTAAGATGGAATTTGGTACTAGAAGGCTGAAACACTGCTCTAACAGAGACCTAAAATGTTGAAGTGACTTTGGAACTGAGCAATGGGAAGAATTTTAAGGTTTCCAATAGTGCCTTGAAGAGACTATCAATAGAATTATGGGCATCAAATGCAGTACTGGTAAGGTTCAGAAAGAAGTGAACACAGCTGTGGAGAAAAGACCCTGTTGCCATAGAGAGGAACTATGGGACCAACAGCAGAATCCTGCTAAAAATGTGAACATTAAATAGGTTTCTGGTGAGGCTTTCAAGGGAAGTGATGTGTAAGTCTAAAGAATATTGAAGAGTCTGAGAACTATAACATGAGTGAATCTGGAGGCCTTTATGCTGATTGAAAGGAATCAACTGCAAAAAGACAAATATTATTGGACTTCATTTTTTTAAAAGTAAAAAACTGATATATACACAGAAAGCAAAGTTCTTTGATAGTTTCTAGGGATGAGAAGGAGAGGAAGGTAGTATTATTTTATAGTGAGTAAATACTTGTTACTTTTGTGGGTGAGAAAGGTAATCTTAAGTATAACTGAATTCAACACACACTGAAGAAGTAAGCTAGAACAAGGGACAGCTTCAATAAATGCTATGTCCTACACAGTTTTGCACTAACTGTAAAAACAACTAAAAAAATACGTGTGTACTTATCTAGGCAGATATGGATGCCTGTGTGTATATATTATTATTGTTAGGAGCCATCAATTTGATTGTAAAATCATAGCAAACTTATGAATGACAGATCCAAAATTTGCTCTATCCTGCACTATCCTTATGGTTTCTGGCATCCTTAAGTCCATTGTTGCAGTCACTATAGGAAGGCGTATATGAGAAATTGTATATATATA